TGTGCCCGGGCCAGCGGGGATTGGAGAGGGGTGTGTGGGGACAGCGCTGGGCACAGGCCAGGGGTCATCCCTGTCCCCGCATGCCGCTCTGAGAGGCCATGGAAGCAGCAGCACCTGGAGCAGGTTGGGATGATGGGGGCTCTGAGCTGGAGCCACTTCTCTCTGCACACAGGCCCTCGGCAGTGACAGCAACAACGGCATTGGGGACACGGGGGACACCACGCTGGTCCTGCACAGCACCAGGACATGGGGGCCACCACACCAGCCCTGCACGGCACAGGAGACCACACACCGGCCCTGCACAGCACCGGGGACGCTGTGCCAACCCTGCACTACAGTGGGGACACGGGGGATGTCACACCAGCCCTGCTCAGCACCAGGACATGGGGATTGCCACACTGGCCCTGCTTGGCCAGGAACAGCCCTGCTACAACCAAAGATGGGGGACACCCTACCAGCCCTCCACGGAGCCAGGGACACTGGGGTGCCCATGTTTGGGGAGCGCTGGGCCCCGGGAGGGAGGGACACAGGATGCAGTGGCAAAGGGGCTGTGCGCCCAGTGACCCAATGCCACACAAGCGCTCCCCACGGTCCCTGCCTGTGCCCAGGGACGGTCCCCGGCCTCACCGGGTCGGCCCCGCGCGCCAGGCCTGAAACCTGCGGCTGCATCAGCACCATGAATAATTCAGCCCCGGGTGGAACGCCTCATCAGAGCAGTTCTACCGTACAGAGAGCAGATACTCATGGAGCTACGCACACACGTACAGACACACAGACACCCCCGCAGCCTCACGCCCGGACACACGCACTCGGGTGCGCACACGGAGCCGTGCAAACCCAGCCAGAGAGATGCACGCGGGGAGATACCCATGGAGCTACATCCAAACACCCCCACACGGAGAAACACCAACCCAGCCACATCCAAACACACATATGCCAGGGTACACACCGATACACAAACACAGACACGCACCCAAACACAGGCACACCCGCACACCCCGCACGCACGTA